AAAACATTTGCAGTAAAACCAGGCATGCCTTGCAATGTAAAACCAGGCATGCCTTGCAATGTTTGCCAGTAATTACATATTACCGGTACTAACACTACAAACTTAAATTTATAAAATCAGCCACAGTGAAGAAATATAAAATTTTAAATTATACTTGTACATGTAGATTCATGTTTAAAATCTATGAAAATACACCACCACGATAAATATCATGTACTTACTTAAATATAAATAATATAAAACATAAATAGGTCTGGCATAAAATATGAATTAAATTATTTTAATAATCTCAGTCGTATTTGTATGTAACTGACGTGATGCTCAGTCTCACTACGGTGAAGTGTCTGAACGACATACTTTCTCGTATGGTAAACAGGAGAATCGTTCCACATGATAAATCCACAAAAACATTTTTATCCAAAAGCATGGGTAAACATGATAACAGAACTCGCTAGTGAGTGGCCTGAGTTTCACAGTGACAGTGACTCATCACGATCGAGTCAGGGTTACTAAAATCATAAATTTTTTCGTAAATAATCGCGGAAATAACGAAACTTCACAGGAAAATGACAAAGTAGATAATAAAAAGTAATACCGTACTTGGCCGCGTTAGCATCCAGGGGCTTCGAAAAAGTGTGCAAATAAAAATATTGATTAATCATGTGACAGATTACGTCTTTGAGGGAAAATCAAATTACGAAATTAGTTGCATCGTCATTAATTTTTACAATGAAGAAACAGAAATAATCACAAAAAATATGCACATTTTATTACAATATTAATTACGTACCACTGGAATTTACGGAATTAGAGGCACAATTCTTCGTAAATTCCCGAAGACTTTCCGTTAACGCATTTGGACGCCTTTTCCAATCAACCACGTGACAACAGGTGTGACCTATGACCTGCGTGTGTTTGTGGGAGAGTATATTTACAAACCGCTCTGTTGTATCGTACCATTTTAATAGTAGCAGTGGCTTATAATACAGATTTTACAGTAAGATTTTTGAAAAACATGAATGTATTAATGCATTGTTTTTATGTTGTCATATTGACTTCATTGTTATTTACACCTACATGTAAGTTTTAGCCATTATTTTTTGCCCAACATGTTTGGACATTTTATTGCATTGTTTCAGAACTTTTATACTCACTTTTGCACTGCAAAGAAAAACACAGTATAAGGTGGCCAATACATCAAAATCTAGATTCTAAATGGTCAACATTGTAATAGTTTTTGTATGTTTTTTTTCTTTGTCATTAGTAATCATTATTTCAAGTATTGCAAAATCTCTGCATTGGCGTTGTTAAAGATGGTCATGCATGCTAGATCTGGAGGTAATCTTGAGGTAATGGGATTGTTGCTTGGTAAAGTAGATGGGGAAACTATGATTATAATGGATTGCTTTGCATTACCAGTAGAAGGCACAGAAACAAGAGTTAATGCACAGGCTGCTGCCTATGAATACATGGCTGCTTATATAGAAAGTGCTAAACAGGTAAATTACATGTAATGTGTTATATTATAATACATGTAGCTAGCTCTGTGACCTGTGGCACTGAACACTACTGACAGTGCCGGTAATTTTCATTATTTTATTCGTGGTATTGACATCATCCGAAAACCTATTTATTTAGGTCATGTCTATCAGTTTGTCTGAAGTCATATCTCAGACACTTATTGACAGACCTCATTGAAAATTTACACAAGCAATGCATCATGTTCATGTAGACCTTTTTTGCTTTGGGGTTTAACTATTTGAAATTTGTGGTGGGGGTGTTGCTGTAGAAATTTGGTATTTTGCATGTATTTTTATATACAGTAGCCACATATACCTTTTACCATTACACGTATGCAGCTGTAAATACTGTTATTTTTTTGTCACTTCCCAATGGTGATCGATGATTCGATAGCTGGCTGGAATACTAGTAGCTGTTCATTTCAATGTAATGTGTTTTCATTAGATGCGATGATTCGATAGCTGGCCGGAATAGCTGTTCATTTCAATGTAATGTGTCTTCATTTGATGTGATGATTCGATAGCTGGTCGGAATAACCGTTCATTTCAATGTAATGTGTCTTCATTTGATGCGATGATTCGACAGCTGGCCGGAATAACCATTCATTTCAATGGAATGTGTCTTTATTTGATGCGATGATTTGATAGCTGGCCGGAATAGCTGTTCATTTCAATGTAATGTGTCTTCATTTGATGCAATGATTTGATAGCTGGCCGAAATAGCCGTTCATTTCAATGTAATGTGTCTTCATTTGATGCGATGATTCGATAGCTGGCCGGAATAGCTGTTCATTTCAATGTAATGTGTCTTCATTTGATGCAACGATTTGATAGCTGTCCGAAATAGACATTCATTTCAATGTAATCTGTCTTCATATGATGCGATGATTCGATAGCTGGCCGGAATAGCCATTCATTTCAATGTAATGTGTCTTCATTTGATGCAGTGATTTGATAGCTGGCCGAAATAGCCGTTCATTTCAATGTAATGTGTCTTCATTTGATGCGATGATTGATAGCTGGCCGGAATAGCTGTTCATTTCAATGTAATGTGTCTTCATTTGATGCAACGATTTGATAGCTGGCCGAAATAGACGTTAATTTCAATGTAATCTGTCTTCATATGATGCGATGATTCGATAGCTGGCCGGAATAGCCATTCATTTCAATGTAATGTGTCTTCATTTGATGCAGTGATTTGATAGCTGGCTGGAATAGCCATTCATTTCAATGTAATGTGTCTTCATTTGATGCAATGATTTGATAGCTGGCCAAAATAGCTGCTCATTTCAATGTAATGTGTCTTCATTTGATGCGATGATTTGATAGCTGGCCGAAATAGCCGTTCATTTCAATGTAATGTGTCTTCATTTGATGCGATGATTCGATAGCTGGCCGGAATAGCCGCTCATTTAAATGTAATGTGTCTTCATTTGATGCAATGATTTGATAGCTGGCCGGAATAGCCGCTCATTT